CCCTAATTACTCCCTTTGCTACAAAAATCCTTCTTCAATCCTTTTTCTTATGAGATTTACATAATGTATGCTCTAAACACCAAATAAAAGAACCAAAATAAGTTTTCAAATGTCACCAATGTCTAACAAAGGTGACTCTAAATATTTAGAAGTTACTATCAACCAAAACCAATCTTAAAAGCCACTATCAAAAGGAAATTAAAGTTATACAAATTCTATAGTAATCTTTTTAAACAACCTCTTCTCAAAGTAATAATCAAATTATATTCTACAACCAACTAAAATCTACTAACATGGCTCTCACCATGTTACTTAATAAATTATATATTAAGTACATAATTATATTATTTTCATATAGTAGCTGAACCACAATACGACAACGGCACCACCTCCTTATTGTCGACATATAATAACACAATTATATGGTAAAAAATAAAAATATGGATGTTTTTATAGAAGAGCCTAATATGATGTAATAAAAAAATAAAGATCAATGATAGGAAAATATTAAAATATTTAGTTTTAATGCTATCTTTTAGAGAAAAAACTTCTACTTGCTTTGTAGAAGCATAAATGCCTCAAATCAAAGTAAATGAGATAAGTAATTAATATAAATATATTTAAGAAAGAATTATTAAAATATTTAAGTAAAAATTATCTCAAATAATCAAATATTGATACTTGAAGAGGACTGCTCATCAACCTGGGTTAAAATCAAACCTTGAGAGAAGAAACCATGTACCATTAATAACTCTAGGTTCTTTTGGAGAAATCAAAGAATCAGATTTGAGAACAAACTTGCAAAGTAATTTTTGAGCATTGATTTTATATCAATTGAGTTAATATTCAATTTTTGGAAGATTTATAAAATTGAAGATTTCTTGAGTTTTATAGTGTATACAAATGAATTTCAGGCTATGTATTGTTGTTTTAGTTGTTACTATGTGTGCAAATTTTGAGGTCAATGAAATGGTTAGATTAAAGTGAATAAAGATTTTTATAGGTTGAAGTCTCAAATATTGGAGTTTGAGGGTCAATGAATATTTTTAAGTTCTTTAGCAATTTTTCAATCGGATTGAAGTGAATTTTTTTTAATATAGAGACTAGACTTGATTCCAAAAAATTTAGATGAACTTTAGAAGAAATTCAATGGTTTAAGAAGGAAAAATTGGCATTAGAAGTTCAACATTTAGATTGGAGTAGGAGGCAAGCCAATACCAAATAGAATTTAGGATTAATCTTCTATTTGGTAAGTTTGATCTTCTTCAAATTTTATGTAATTATTGCTAATTTATTTTTTAAAAGGTGTATATAATCTTAATTAAAATCAATGGTAATCAATGTTTAATCAAAGTATTATAGATATTTAGATTCTAAACTATCTTAGGATTAAATTAATTTGATTAGGATTTAATTAGAGTTTAGGATTTAATTTAGAATTTAGGATTTTCTAGGATTTAGGATTATTTGGAATTTAATTAGGATTTGACTTAGGATTTAAATAAGAACTATTAGGATTTTAATTAAGGTTACATTAAGATTCAATTGAAATTTATTTAAGATATATTTAAGATTTTATTCTAATATTTCATTTAAATTTCTTTAGGTTTTCTTCATGCATCTTTTATAATTTCTTTAAGGTTTTTTTGGATTTGATTAAAACTTGATTAGCATTATGAAGGTTTAATTGGAATTATTTAGGATTAGAATACACTCTTGTATCACTCACAAGAACTAAAAAGTCCTTCAAAGATGATATAGTATTAAACTAGAATGGCTATTATCAAAGTCAAGAAGACTAGAAAGTCTTGAAATAAGACTAAAGATTAGAAAGACATTAATAAGAATGGAAAAGGCTTCACTCTTACTTCCATATATACTCTTAACTAGGAGCTATGTAGCAATGTCCTATAAGACCTCCAAAATGTATTGACTTTGTGAGACACATATCTTAACTTATAAGACAAGTTTTTTTATATGTATGCCATATAATTAGTTTTTTATACAAGCTACAAACATGTGGTTAACTTGTTGATCAAGTTTCCAATCTAATTATCAACTATAAACACATGTAAAGTCAAAGCAGTATTTATAAAACTTCTAGAAAGCTTTTAAAAAAAATATTATGAAATAAATCTACTTTTATCTATTTCTATTTATTCATATAGGTAAATATTAGAATAAATATGTATGACAATAGCAGGTTATTCCATCCACAAAATTTCATTATTATCTTATTGAACTTAGACAAAATCTCATTTATTATCAAGAAATAATTTGGAAACATCATTGGAAGTGAAATGAGGGCGTTTTGCATTACTCGAGGAAGATAAACTATAAGGGATTTAGATAAGATACTTGTATTATTGATGCATAGAGATAGGTAGTTGGAGCCATATTTGAGACATTTTTAGAAGTTTTTAGAAGTTTCTAGAATTGAAAGTAGGTTAGTGGTCTATAGAGGATCTACCATGAAATATTCTAAAAAGAGCTCAGGATTGTTATCTAAGTGGGTTCGACTATTATGAACATTCTAGAAAGTTCTAGAATGGTTTGACAAAATATAAATAAGACTAACAAGGGCCATTTAGATAGCCGATCAAGTATGGCTTTGAGCCTTTTTTTTTGAAAAGGTTGATTTTATAATTTTTTCTTCAATTTTGTTTTATTCTCTTTTACTTTTTTGTATCTTTCATATTCCATTCTATTTAGTTTTGGTCAATTTTGTCAAAATTATAAATTTAATACTTATAAAAATTAAAAAATTATAGTCAAAATTCATGTTAGAAAGAATTTTTTAATAAGTATTAATTTTAGCCAAATTTAATTTAACTCAAATTTAATAAAGAAGATTACAATGACTTCATTAAGATTAAATAATAAAAGAGACAATGTAGTAATTTAAAATATAATCTATTTACAATAAATTTAAATAAAATTCTAAAATAATTAATAGCAAGAATAGTAATTCTTTACTTAACATTTGCTTTAGTGTTTACTTATATTACTTCTATTATTTACTAGCAATTAGCCATCTTTTTGTTAGCAACTATTTAGCCTTCTTACTTAATCTATTTTAGTCCAAACTTCAAGATGTTAAATTTATATATAGATTGAATATCTTTAATTTGCCTTCTATTTTCTAGACCCTATTAGATTGAATCTTCTTATTGGATTGATTCTTTGAAATTACCTTCAATTTCCAAAACCAATTATTAATCTTATATAAAGATTGTAAGGTGTGAAGAAAAAACCAAGTTTCTTATAAAAATATATACATACTAATATTATATCTTTTTAATTGATATTATTTTTAATTAGATATTTTATTTTGTATTTATTTTAAAAAAAAAATCTTTAAGATATTTAAAATGAAAATCCAATTGGCTTCAATTTTTAATCTTTAAATTTATGGACTAACCAACTATATGAATCAAAAAAATAGAGCAATATTTGTTTGTAATACTGATTATTATTAAGAAAATTGAATAATTCTTTTGTCCCAAGCTTAATTTTTTAAAATAATGTTATGAATTATGATAATATTTTATTAAAAATAATTCTCAATAATCTTATGTCTAATAATTTAATAAATATATTATTAGAATCACACATATCAATAAAGATGCTAATAATTAGAGCTCTAAGATAATAAAACAAATACTTATCAAAAAATATTTTAATATCTAAATCAATTATTTTTCATATTCTTATAATAATAACTATGTAAAAAAATCATTTGATATTTTCATTCCATGCAAATATTTATGTTTTTTTGTAAAACAATGCATTGAATATTATTTTAAATATATCTATATATATATATATATATATAGTAAGTTTTGAATATCTTTAGAATACACATATTTTTTTAAAACACACACATACACACATACACACACACACACACACACACATATATATATATATATATATATATATATGTGTGTGTGTGTGTGTGTGTGTGTGTGTGTGTGATTTTAAATTGTTAATTTTAAATTGTTAATTTTTTATGATACCTATTTGAATAATTAAGTATTGTATTATTAATCATCTTTAAATATTTTTGATTGATAAATATCAATACATTAGACAAATAAAAAGCTAAATTTCAAGTTCCCTACAACTCTTTCATTTAAATTTATAAATCAAGATAGTAATATGTGTTTTTTTACTATAAATACACACACACACACACACACACATATATATATATATATATATATATATATATTAGAATTATCACTGATAGAATCCATATTTCAAGAAACAAAAACCTTTGCTTCTATTTGTAGGGAGAAAGTATAGCAAGAGAAGAGATGTATACGACTTGTTTTTAGAGTCCTTGATCGAAATAGAACAAGGAGCTCTAATTCACACATCCACTTGGGAGGTATTGCAAGTAGAACTTGTATTATCCCCTCTTGCCAGAACATGTGTTGGGACCTAAAAGCTGAAGATTTAGGGGAAAAAAATGTTGATTACAAAGACCGATGGTGATGAACAGAAATAAAACGAAGGATTACATTGGTTGTTGGATTACGAAGAAATCATACCCTCAATAATATGCTATTTAGAGGAATTTAAGGAAGTGGCCAACCATCCAACCATAAAAAGTACTGGTTGGAAATAAACCATCGTGGATGAAAACCACATGAAACGCTCGTTAAAAAGTCCATCTTTAATGTGAAATACAACCAATCTAATTGATAAAGCATTGAAAGTATTTTTGAAAGTTGTATATCTTCAGTGTTGGAGGCTGCACATCATCTTTGTTTCAACCAGTGGGTAAACTGCTATATACATAAGTCACTGTTACAAACTTTTAGTTGATATAAAGTTCATAGTGAATATTCAATAAGAAGTTGTTGATTGATGGTTTCATTATAAAGTACACAGATAGATTCTTTTTCATCATAATCATTTTCTGATTCGTCGTGAAACTTGTACAATGAATCTGAAAATCTAGTCCAGTCATAGTCAGATGATTGTGAAACTGGAACATTGAAGATGAAAAGAATGACCTTCACCAGGATAATTTCTGTTGAAAACACTTGTTACCCTCCAAAATTTTAAAAACATTAATGCCAAATGTTAAACTCCACGTTACGGAAGACATGCAAGCTTTTTCCTGCAGATACAGGCTCTCTACAAACATTTGTTTCTATCTACAAAACTTTAAGAGTACAAATATAAAAATCTGCTCGTGCTTGTATTTTTTTTGTATTAGTACTAACTACTGGCCGTTCTAAGAGGAACAAAAACGCACTTCGAACAGCTTACAAAATCTGGGAAGTAGATGCTGATTAACTGAGCTCGCTGAAGCTAAAGCAATTTCATCTCTTGAGACCTCCGAGAACTGCAGCCGCAATGCCACTAGCTACTACACCCACTGCAGCAGCCGCTATGCCAACTCCAACCAAACCATCTGAGGAAGTAGACAGATCACAGTCAGAAGTAAAACCACATGCACATAGTTGGACTCGTTTTTTTCTTTACAACTGAATATGAAGAATAGTTGCATAACAGAACATAACTTACAAAGAACAACGACCAATAAGACCAGTACTAGTATACTCAGATTTGCACGAATGTCATTCGAGACTCACCCTTGGCAATTTTATCCTCGACCATATTCTTTAGTGCCAAAGCCTGTCGAAAATCTGGCGACATCTGCACATTGGTTTACAACTCATGAATAAATACCTGTGTAAATTTTAAAATAATGAAATGGGAAATCAAGCTTAGATAACATCCTATCACAATGGACATAAATGTAGTACTAAACCATAAAAAAGGGAGAAAAGAAAATGTACTTTGAGAGCTTGGTCGACAAGACGCCGACTCCTAGCATATTCGCCAGCTCGGAATTGGCCCACTGCCAGCAAGTACAAAACTTCTCTCTTTTGCAAGGGTGCTCCTACGCCTGCCAATGCGGCTGCACATGGATAATCAAAAGTGTGTCAGAAGCAATCGTAAGGGAAATGATATAGCGCCACCATTATCTATAAGAATGAAAAACTGACGACAGGAAAATGAAGAATATAGATACTCAACTGCACCAAATCAGACATGCGAGAAACAAAGATCGCATTCTATACAGCTATCAAAACCTTGCTATCGTCTCAAGCGTGGAAAAATGGATGAGTAACAATACATCTCAACTGGAGCTATATTATTGAACACAAAACCGGTATTCACACAAGCAAGGGACACACCTTCTAACATGGCGATACCACGCTGCACATCCGATGCATTTCGTGAATGGACAAGAGCCCATGACAATCGCATGACACTCTCAGTGTTCTCACTGGGTGCAGCAGCCTTTTCACAAGAAGCTTCCAATTCACAGCTCTACAATAAACGAAGACGAAGCCGATTCTAGGATGAGTCCCGGTGGACGTGACAAAGAGGCAATTGTAATGTCTCCAAAAGGAAATTATATGTGATCATGAGTATGAGACAGAATCTTGATCGATAAAGTAGCTTAAAAACAAGGACACCAGAGATTAGAGTAAACAAAACCAAGAATGAATAAGCTTACAGCAATCATTTCTGAGTCTGTCCACGGCAAATAGTCGCCTCCCCCAAAAAAATTCTCAATTTTGTCGCTGACTTTATTGAAAAATCCTTCTGCCATTTATTGCACTGCACGCAGCCGATTCAACGGGTCATTATCTGATCATATCGACCATGAATCTGTCCACACCGGATGGAATCTTCCCAAATGCATAACCCAACTTCTACAAGGTTGTATATTGGTGATAGAAAGAAGCTTGAAGGGCGTTGGAACCTTAGAAAGCAGGAGCAATTCCACAAAGACTAGAGAAACAACGGAAAGCTAGTAGGAAGCCCAGTCAAAACGGAGAAAGGTACTGTTTGCTACCTAGACAAATACTAGGACTAAAAAAAAAAGGGGGGGGGGCTCAGAATTCTCAACCACGGGAATCTCATCAAAACTCATCCCCTAAGCTGCTTGTGAACAAAAAACATGAATTCAGTTAAAATATCAGCATCACAGGTAGATCCAAAACTGTAAACATGACAAACACTTCCGTGACATCTAGAACACAATCACTCCAGTGACACAGAAAAGTCAGTCTACAATCGTCACACCAACTCAGAATCCCAGAACAGAAGAAACAGAAGAACTTACATGTCACCACACGAATCGAGAAACCGACCACACACTTCAAAAGCGAGACCACTGGTACGCAGCGCAATGTGCGGAGAGAAACCACACCGTGCAATGCAGGCACCGTAGCAGCAAAGAGCGCTCGGCGAGCAACGGAGCACAGGCGACGACAGTGGAAGGAAGAAGCAAAGGTGGAGGTGGAGAGGTGGGTATGGGCGAGTTGGGTTGTGATGAAAAATGGTGCAGGATGCGGGTTATGCGAAGGCACGCGGTGCAAGCGAATTCGAGGGGGGGAGGTGGATCTACGCGGTGGTGGGTTCCAGTCATAGTTGTCGGAGGAGGAAGAGCGTGGAAGCAACAGGGACGACAACGACGCCATTGCCACCCTCGTTCAGATAGATCGAATAGATAGAATAGAATAGAATAGAATAGATCTTCCTCCTCCTCCTTGGCCTCCTCGTAAGGGGCTCTCTCACTCTCTCGCTCTATGGCGTAGGGGGTCCAAGTCCCTACCCCTCTTCCAAACCCTAAACCCTAATCCTGGTCGAAAGCACAAGAAAAATTTCAGCTCACAAGGGAGTTTGGTGGTGGTGGTGATTCAGGACCAAGCCTTTGTTTTGTTGGGGACTCAACCCTGTTGTTGTGCGCTTCCTTCCATGTCAAGGACAGTTTGGTAACCGTGTCCTGAATGTGAATTTGATCCATTTTTGTGGTTTTATTATTGGTTTGGTGTGTGTCCATGTTAGGGAGGGGTCTCGTCACTTTTGAGGTTTGTAGTTGTGATGTTAATTTGGATATGGAAGTGTCAAATTTAACAGCTACAAGTTTATTGTTTTTTTATTTTTTCATTTTTCTGCATGTGTGATAATTATGGATTTGTTGTTGTTTTGTGTAACAAAATTAACTAGAATTCTTGCTTGTCATTTGATGTTGATTCCATAGAAAATTGTCTTAATCACCAAACACTATGAATCAAATAGATAGTTATTTTGTATAATTTATGTTTTTTTTTCTAAGATTTTTTTTCTTTTTTTTGTGTAAATCAATATTTTTAATAATTCCTGAAGTGTACCCTTATCTTGTTAAAAAAACATACTTTTGATTAAATTATTTAATATTCAAATTTAATTCTCTTTTGATTTAAAGTATAATAAATATCATATAATATAATTTTTTTATATATTTTGAGTATATATATATATATATATATATATTTACATCAATTGAAAAGTAGAAATGCTATGGTGATAATCTAAAACTTTTTTATTAATGTTCTATTGAATTAAAGAAACATGTTCAAAGATTCTTAATATGGCTAAATCTTGAAACGTGCCATGGCTTGGATAAATTGTGTTATTAAGCCATGGCCTACTAACAACCAATCTAATACATATTTGGTCTAGATATACAATATGCAACATATTTGGTGAGCAATAACATGTGAAGGGCACAATCAAATTAATTATTAGTTAATATATATTAATAGAAGAAAGGAAAAAAAAAATAGAAACAAAATTTGACAACTTCCACAATTATTATCACAAATCGCATAAATCACTTAAGTATGATGTAATTAAATTAGAACACACAAATTAGAACAATTATCAATAGATACAAAAATATTTGGGTTATATGATTTAGAAATAAAGATCTAGACAAAATATTTTAGAGCAACCAAAAACATGGTAATCAATAATTTAAATTACAAAATTAAGAAAAAAAATTTAAAAAAATTAAAAAAATACTCTTGGCAAAAATTAAGTGTGCATGAGAAAGAAGGATATGTTCTATGCAAACACAAAGTATTATTTTTTTAAACTAGATTTAAAAATAACATCTATGTTTGGAAGTGAAGTTCATATATTAATCACTAAACTGTATCTTAAATTTTCAAAAAAGTTGAGTAAATTATTTTTTCAATTATATACTTATATCCACCTCTCCACCTCCACCTTTCCACCGATTTGAGTGATTTTTTTTTTTTTTTAATTATACATTTATACCTAGTGCTTTTGCATGAGTAGATTGAACATATTTATAAGCTACTTTGATCCTTTTAAATTAAAAACTTATAAGGAAATGCTACCCCCATGTACTATCTAATTACAAGAATCAACAAAAAAAAATAGCATATAATAGAATTTTGCTATAGATAAATTCTACAAAAAAACATTTGTGCATATTAGATTTTTTACAAATACTTTTTTATGGTCTTATTTGACTCAATTAATTTCTACTATTTAATATATGTTAAAAGCATTATTATCTTCAATATGCTAAATATACATAACATGTACAAACAAAGAAGGTTTGATATAGCTTACCACTTCCAAATCTTAAGTCTTTGAAATAAAAAATTTCCATTAGATGTTCTAAACATGAAGCTTATAATAGTTAACTATCATAAAATGGCTACAACTTTGTATATAATATATGACTTAAGATTAGTAATTAGAGTTTAGATCTATTTTTTATCACATATTGTTCAATATTATAAAACTTAAGACCATGTTGTAGAGTTTTTGTATTAAAAAATATTAACTTTATGAAATGCATTATATTATAACGATAATATTTGATTTTTAGAATATCCTACTATACATGTTAGATTTGTTTAATGAGATGAAAAAATAAAGATAATAAAGTCCATTTTTAGGAGGCAATGCCATAAAACAAATAGTGGCATACGTAGTTCATGGATGAAAAACAGAGATATTAGAATTCTTTTTTAACACTTAATTTCTTAAATTATTTTAGCTTATAATTTTTATGTCTTTAATAATAATTAATATTATATCTAAGAAATTATAGCATATTAAAAATATTTTTTTTCATGCTTCAATTTTATATATAAATATGTTAAAAAAGGTGAAAATAACACATGTAGTAACATATAAAAACGGATGTAAAACTGTGACATATAATATTAAGATGTAAATTTTTTGTTTAAAAAATATTAAAAAATAAAAAATAAAACCAACTCATGATAGAAGAGTAAAAAAAACCACATAAAATCATCTTATTTATATTAAGATAAGTGGAAAAAATGAAGATCTAAAATTCTAATTTATACTTAAAATTATTCTAAAAACTACAAGTTTTAAAACCTTCTTCTTGTTTTATTTATTAAAGTTAAAATAAATACCATTGAATTATGTTAAAATTATTTTATTGATAAGAATAAATATATTAAATCATTAAATTAAGTAAAAAATAGTATTAAAGATAATCATACAAAATATATTACACTTCTATAAAATAAAAAATTAGATAAAAATTTATTAAAATGCAAGTCATAAGCCAACATCTTATTGATATAGATCCTAAGAAATGATTAATTATTACAATGACTATAAATTTATTTTTAAAATAATTAAATTAATAAATTAATTAGATTAGATAAATAAATAAATATATATACCTTTAAAAAGTAAAAAACTATTTAATTTTATTAATAAATAAAGATCAAATTATTAAATTTATTTAATAAATTATAAATTAATAGTAGTATTTTTAAAAATTTCTTCTTATTACAAATATATATATAAGTTTTCAAAGAATAAATATATAATTTTAACTATATATATGAAACTATTATGATATGGTTTAAACACCATTGTAGAATAAGGTTGATACTGTTGAGATCATTAAATGTAGTCGGCGCTCTCCATAATATTTACTATAGACTACAGTAATTACCATAGCTATAATATTTAGAGTCTAGTGGAGAAGTACTGTTTATCTTCTCTTCTTTTCTCTTCTTGTATACGAGATATAACCAAATCAATAGATTTGTGTATGTAAAGCTCTCTCTCCTTAGAAACCCTCTTGTGTGTATGACTTACTACTACTCTTGTGTTTGTATGACTTACTATTACTCTTGTGTGTGTGTATGACTTACTATTATTCTTGTGTCTTTCTAAACATTCTCAACACGTTATCAGCACTATTTTCTTCTACACACTATCACAATTTTTTACTCTAGTCTTTGACTCTTCAAACCTGTTGCTACCCTTGCTTAGTATCTGAGTCATGATCTTGTTCTTCTTACTGGCCCCTCACACATTAGCTGCTTGGTTAGAGCACTTGTTCCACTCTCTGCCTTGCTTGTTCTAAATACTTGATCCAGTTCAACTCCACCCTCTGCTTGCTCCTGCTCTCTGTTGCACCCTAAACTGTCGACGAACTGCCGCTGAATCCGTCGTTGCCACCCTGTCGCCGTTGACGCTGTCGCCCGCTACTGTCGCCCGCCATTGCCCCTCGTTGCCCGTTGCTCCTGTCCGCCGTTGCCCGTCGTCACCAGCCGTTGCTACCTTGCTGTCATCTTATTGCTGTTCTACTGCCTTAATCTACAACTCTCTCTCCTTAAATATATATATATATATATATATATATATATATATATTTTAAGTTCAAGTTTATCATTTTATTTGACTTTACATTTTAAGGTACGTTTTACTTAACTTTTCTACTTGATCTTGTATTTTCTTTACAGATTTATTTATAATGAGTGCTTCAACATCTTCAACTGCTTCCACTATGGTTCCAACTATTACTAGTGCATCCCAACATTTTTAAGCTCTTTTATTTCTACCATTGATTGTGGATGGAAATAATTATCTATTATGGGCAAAAATGGCAAAAGCAAATTTATTTGCAAAACAACTCTCGGATGCCATTATGTTTGAAGAATCTCCTACAACAAGTATTTCTATATCTCCTACTATTCGTTGGAAAGTACTTCTTTTTCTTCGTCGTCATCTTATACCTACATTACAACATCAATATTTGGAAATGGAAGACCCTGCAGAACTTTAGAAGAATCTTAAATCTAGGTTTGATCATCAAAAGACCATTTTTCTTCCACATGCACGTCATAATTGGACACATTTACGTGTCTTAGATTTTCCAAATTTAAATGCTTTCAATAGTGAAATGTATAGTATTGTCTCACAATTACGATTATGTGGACAAAGCATTTTTGAAGAAGTAATGATTGAAAAAACTCTCTCTACATTTCCTCCTGCATCTGCTATGCTTGCACAACAATACATGAATATGAAATTTTAGAGTCATTCTGATCTCATGTCCTATCTACTTCTTGTGGAGAAGCAAAATGAGCTATTCTTGTGTAATGCGGAAGCTCTTCCTATATCATGCACTTAATATTTCAAAGTCTAAGAAGAAATTATATAAACATGGGAAACGTGCTCATAAGTATTAGGGTAGTCATAGTCAAGACCATTTCTATCCATATAGAAAGAATAAATGTTCTACTATGAATTATAGTAGAAAACAAAAATCAAAGATGCGTTCTTAC